TCTGATTTGGTTTAGTTTAGTCTGTTTTGTTTTATGGTATATCAACCTCGAGGGGTTATTTAATGCCGACAAGATTTTTATTGCTGGTAATATTTTTTAACAAAAATGTATTCCTGGCAATACTTTTTCCTTCAAAAATGCATTGCTGGTAATATTTTTTTCAAAAATGTATTGCTGGTAATTTTTTTTTTTTTAATGTATTGCTGTTATATATTTTTTTTTCAAAAATGTACTACTGGTAAAAAAAATTTCCGAAAATTTATTGTTGGTATTAAAAACATAGTGCTATTTTTGGGGGTTAAGTATTTGCCCAGCTAGACCATGAAAGGTGCTACCACCCCAGGTGAGGTGGACTTGGGTGGTTCCGCTTTTGCTTGCATTTGGATGTGGGGGCCTTACCCAGGACGCGGATGCATTTTATCGTCTTACCCAGGACGCGGATGTAGCTTATCGTCATAATCAGTACGCGGATGTGGATCGTCATACCCAGGACGCGGATGTGTTTATCGTCCCCAGGACGCGGAGGTGGTTTATCATCAACAGGACCAGTTGAATTATTGTCATACCCAGGACGCGGATTTTATCGTTATACCCAAGGCGCGGAAATCGTCTACCCAGGACGTGGATGTAGTTTATCGTTATACCCAGGATGCGGATGTAGTTTATCGTTATACTCAGGATGCGAATGTAGTTTATCGTTATACTCAGTACGCGGATGTAGTTTATCGTCATACCCAGGACGTGGATGTAGTTGATTAGTTATTGTCATACCCAGGACGCGGATGTAGTTTACCGTCATACCCAAGGCGCGGATGTAATTTATCGTCATACCCAGGACGCGGATGTAGTTTATCATCATACCCAGGACGTGGATGTAGTTTATCGTTATACTCAGAATGCGGATGTACTTTATCGTCATACCCAGGACGTGGATGTAGTTTATCGTCTTACCCAGGATGGGTAATTGTTCTGATGAACTTTTTCTCTTTGGTACATTGATTTTATGAATTTAAGCGAAGTGCTTGATTAGCGTCAAGTTTAATCGTCATTTTTTTTTCCTCACAGTTTTCACCACTGGAACTCTCTTCCAGCTCCATGCTTTCCAGCCAACTTTGATCTTCAAGTATTTAAATGCAATGTCAGTCGTTATCTACTGTCTTGTTTCCTTTTCTTTTGTTTTCGGTCTTTAATAAGGATGGGTAACCTCCTTTGTGTCTTAGTGGCTTTTGCCTTGCATGGGGTGATGATTTAAAAAATCATTAGCAATGCACTTTATATCATATATATTCTACCAGCAATGTTTGTATTTATTCCTGATTATCCTTTGAACCGGCCGCTTTTGATGAATTTAAGTGATCAGGAGTAAATATAATTAGCCGTTCAAAGGATAGCGAGTGGAATAATAAATCAGGGCGTCGAGTTCGAATTCTGTCAAGTTTATGATATTCACTTACGCGCAAATATCCTTGTGAAAGCAATGAATACATATATTCTCCTCCCAGTTAAGGATTAAATAGTAGGACTTGTATGAAAAAAAAAATTAGAATACAGAAAATTGTTAATGCAAGATTCATTCACAAAAGAAAAGTTATTCTTAAAATCCAGAATATGTTTCAGCTTTAAATAACACACAAAAGGTTGATAAACCGTAAACGTTCCATGACAATCTTTTTCTTGATTTTCATTTGACTATAGTAGAATCATTAGCATTGTATTTACACTACACATACAGTAGGTCCCAAAAAAATTCGACATTTGACCTTGGAAACAGATCAAGATTTTTAAATGCAATGTGAGCCATCGTTTAGAAATCATTTTAACTTGAATATCTTAAGACTATTGCCTTCAATGCAAAAATTTGGAAAAACTTTTAGCAAACAAATTTAGATTTGGTACCAAAATTTAACGAGGAACGCTGTTTATGCAAGGTTAAAGGATCTCAAGCAGAGAATCACTTCAGCACTGGATAATGTTACCGCAGACCTCAACTTTCTTATTCTTGAACACTTATGAAATTGGTCCCAGAATAAACTTATGATGTTCAACATCTCCTGTTGTGTTTTAGAATCCAGGCTTAGTAAGGGATTACTTTTAAAATGATGTCAATTTTTTAGGACACTGTATAATAGCCCTATTCTATCAGTAAACTTTACATTAATTCCTGACCACTGACAATACCTTTCTTCAGGTAGAAATAAGCTGCACATGTCTTTATTAATAGCCATATTCCATCAGTAATAATGTTCCAACCACTGATAATGTGCTTCATGCAAATTTTTATAATAGAAGAATTCATTATTATAAAAATGCTTGTATTTATTACTGACCATTGAAAATCATGAAGAAAAGGATTATCAGTGGAGTTTTAATAAGGTTAAATCGGCAAAAGTCGTCAAATAGAGTTGAAGAGATTACTGATGGAATCGAAATGGTCTTTATGCCAACTCACACTGACGAAAGAATCATCATCATCAAAACTGTTTTGATTTAAGGTCATGAATTAACATATTCCCTCATCTTCAGGGACATAGTATACTGATTCAACAATATTTTGCCAGCCTTCTTTGTCCTCTGCGAGTTTGCGGAAAATCTTCCTTGATTGTAAACTCTCCAAAGAAAAGGATCTTTTGTCTTAGACAAAGCCATGGGTTTTCTTTGAAATGAAGGAATTAAAAGTTCAGAGGTCATCCAAGAACCACCATAGTTTGAACCGAAACATCAAAGAACAAGACAAACAGACGAAAGAATTATGGATGTCCCTCGTTTTCCGAATCAACGAAAAGTGAATTAGCAACGACAACTAGTTTATATTGGAAAATATTTTTAGCGTTCCCTGATTTCAAAATAACGTCCTTTGTCTGTTTCGATGTCCAGATTTGTCGTCTAATGTAGAAAGCTTGAAATATAACAGTCTGATTAACGAGTTGTCTTCACACAATATTTATTTCATATAAAGCATTGAAAACATCCCGAAGCCTACCTGAAACTTATGAGCCGTTTTAAAAATAAAAAAGGTATTATTTTTTGCAATCGGAAGGAAAACCTTATGGAAGTTTCATTTTAGAGGTTTGGGAATGCTAAATAAGTTATTCCATATGAAGTAATGATAAATATTACTTTATTTTACGCCATTTTGGCCCACGAAAGATTTCAAATGAATGCCCGATATTCGGTAAACGGGAAAAAAAAAACTATATATGTAAAAGTGTAAATCCGCACACATTGATTGATATATCTCCTCTTACTTATAAGTTCTTTTAAAGGCAAAATGTTGCTATCGTTTATTGAACTCGAAGCTTTCTATGTCGACCAGAGGGCGCAGGTTACTATGAAAGAAATCTCCAATATTCAAACGGTAATAGCTTGAGCTATTTGAGGTATAATGGCTAAACATATATATATATATATATATATATATATATATATATATATATATATATATATATATATATATATATATATATATATATATATATATATATATATATATATATATATATATATATATATATAGAATTGTCTGACTAGATTACTCCGACAAGAGATTTTCAATGATTCGGAACAAATCGGTATTAGTCGGCACTTTTCGCCTGCGTAACGACCAGGAATTTTTTTCTAATATGAAGGTCTGGCTTGTGTTTATTACTGTGAATCTGTTTTTTTGTATGTATTCCTGTGTTTTTTTTTTTATTCAAGTACTTTTTTATTTTAAGGGTCGCAGGTGAAGACTGAAATGCCGTTAACATTTGGTCAAAAAGCCATCGTTTTTCGAGTCGCCATCTTAACTGGAAGGAATATATTGTATGCGTGTATATATGTCTTCCTGTGTATGTAAATGTGATTAAGATATTTTTCGTCTGGAAAGTTAAATCGCTTTTATTGTCAGATTTGTGTGGTTAAGGTTGTCTTTGTTCTGGAAGAAGGAATAAATTGCTTCAAATTAAAGGAGATAAAAAAGATTGCAAAGAAGAGGAAGAAAAAAATGAGGAGGAGGAGGAGGAGGAAGAGAAGAAGAAGAAGAAGAAGAAAGATCGAGTTAAAATATGAATATTTGAATGTAACAAAGGAACTGAACAGAAAGGAGAAGGAAAAAGAGAAAAAGGAGAGGAATAAGACGTCAAGAAAGGACAAACGAAAGAGAAGACGGAAATGGAAAGGAGAAAAGTAAAAAGGGGAGAAGGAAAAGAAAAAAGGGAAGAGAAAGGAGTGAAATCAGTAGAGAGAAAGAAAGAAAGAAAGGAAAGGAAAGAAAGGAAAGAAAGAAAAAGAAAGAAAGAAATGGAAGGAAAAAAGAAAGGAAGAAAGAAAGGAAAGAAAGGAAAAGAAAGAAAGAAAGAAAGGAAAGAAAGGAAAAGAAAGAAAGAAAGAAAGTGGAGAAAAGAAAGAAAAAAGAAAAGGAAGGAAAGAAAGAACGAGAAGAGGGAAGAAGAAAAATGAATAGGTGAAAAGGCGCCAAAGAAAGAAATAACAGAAAAAAATAGGAAGACGAAAAGAAGAAAATGGAATGAGGAAAATAAAAGGGGAAAGCAAAAATAAGAAAAGAGAAGAAAGCGAGAAAAGAGAGAGAAATAAAAGAGACGGAGAATAAGAAAAGGAAGAAAGAGAGAAGAGGAAGAAGAAGAAAAACGAGACTAAGAAGCTGATGCTGGTAAAGAAAGTAATTAGAAAAGAAATAAAGAAAAATGAAAATTAACTTTTAAACATCGATAATGCGAAAGAAGAAGAAGAAGAAGAAGAAGAAGAAGAAGAAGAAGAAGAAGAAGAAGTCAGTTTAATTTCTATGAATAGCTACACCCGTCCCTTCCACCAGAAAACGAAGCGGCGAGATCAAATATGGTGGAAAGACAAGCGGAAAATAACATGCAATGAAGACGAGTTCATGACGAAATAATTATTTCTTTCGGTCATACGACGAACGAAATTCCTTAATATGTCTTGGACACGAAATGACCAAAATGCTTCACTTCACTTGGGGAATATCTTGTCATTTGAAAATCTGAATGATCTCACTCTCTTTCTTGCTCTCTTTTTTCTTTTTTTTTTCTATCTATCTATCTATCTATCTATCTATCTATCTATCTATCTATCTATCTATCTATCTATCTATCTATCTTAGTCTGTTCATATCATCTATCTATCTATCTATCTATCTATCTATCTATCTATCTATCTTGGTCTGTTCATATCCATCTATCTATCTATCTATCTATCTATCTATCTATCCATTCATCTATCATCTAGTCTATTCATCTATCTATCTATCTATCTATCGATCTATCTATCTATCTATCTATCTTAGTCTGATTATATCTATCTATCTATCTATCTATCTATCTATCTATCTATCTTGGTCTGATCATATCTATCTATCTATCTATCTATCTATCTATCTATCTATCTATCTATCTATCTCGGTCTGTTCATATCTATCTATCTATCTATCTATCTATCTATCTATCTATCTATCTATCTATCTATCTATCTATCTATCTATCTTAGTCTGATCATATCTATCTATCTATCTTAGTCTGATCATATCTATCTATCTATCTATCTATCTATCTATCTATCTATCTATCTATCTATCTATCTATCTATCTATCTATCTCAGGCTGATCATCATATATCTATCTACGTATGAAAAATGAAAATATGATCTTTGGACATTTCCGCGATTTCCACTTTATTTCCGGAAAGTGGATCCGGTCGATAAATTTTCAGAATATTTCTTACACACACCTATATCCCTACACGTGCACGTGCAAAACGCATATGCTGAAACACTCACACACACACACACATATTTATATGTGTATATGGAAGGAAGTTTACTAAATTATTAAATCATCATCAGTATAATGGAATTATACATTGGAACATGAACATGCATATGCTTTTCTTTGCATGGATAATTTATGGCAAGAAATATATATATATATATATATATATATATATATATATATATATATATATATATATATGCATATTATAAATTTACTAATTTAAAAATATGGTCCCATCGATGCACAAGAATTACCTTTGTTTCAAAAACAGAAACTAAAAACTCTAAATTTAATTTTAGAATTAAATTAAAATCCTTACAATTGCTTCATTTTCAAGCGATTTTTGGAATAAATTGTTCTGAAATTTACTGATTTTATAAGCACATACATTCTTGATATTAGTTGTTAAAGTTACAGGGAATTCCTCTATATAAATTTATATGTTATATTCTTCCATATATATATATATATATATATATATATATATATATATATATATATATATATATAGATGGAAAATATACATACATATGCAAAATATATAAATACCCATACATGTATATTTTTAGAAAAAAAAATTCCAAGAGGAAGAATCCAGGTAGAACTCAATGTCTAGGACAGAGAAAGGATATAATAAAAAGGCTTAAATACTAATATTCCATGGTCATAATTTATTCCATTTACTTTCCTTCGTCCCATCTCTCTCCCTACCTCGTCTTTCCCTCCCTCTTATTCTAACATTAGATTGTCTATGGTGTGTGTATGTCACCACGAAATGTATCTTTATGCACCAGACATCCGTCAACATTCATTTTTTCTCTTAATTAGACCCCTTCCACCCATCTCTCCTAAAGTTTCTTCTGTTAAGGTTTTATCTCCCTCCTCCTCATACTTACACTTTCTCTAAATTCTGTTTTTATTTCCGGGGTTGTTTTTTTTCTGTTTTCTTTTTGTATTTGTCGGTCTGATGAATTGGATCGTATTTACGATTCCAATGGAATAAATTATGACCATGGAATATTAGTGTTTAAGCCTTTTTTTTTATATATATATATATATATATATATATATATATATATATATATATATATATATATATATGGTGGATTCTGATATTGAGTTCGACGTATGAGGTTCAGACGACCACGAACTAATTATCTGCCTATGAGGGGCATGACTTTTGAGACTGGCCCGAGAATTGCACAAAAGCTCACAAACAGTACAGGAGAATGATAGATGTTTTATTTTGCTTTCTCGTTTCATGTAGTCGACTGATGATTATTTCTCCGTGCAGCTATATCAAAGTTGTACTTCTTTAGCTCCAATACGACCAGAGCTGTTTTCCATTCTGGTGCTGAGTTGTTGTCCCGGAGAGTTCATACATTCCAAGTGCCGAGATGAAGTTGATGTTGTTTCATATTTACGAAGTAGCCAGATATGTGTGGAACTAATTAGATGTAATTGTCAGAAAACCAACACAATGACTTGTTTCAAGAGGTGAAGGCTTGTATCGGACCTTCCACATTGTTGGGATCTGTCGATAAAAAGTAACGGTGCAAAAGACTTGCCACGGAAACTCCGAACGACAGTCCTCATGCATTATTATCACGGAGATTAACCTCTCCGGATCACAGTCAATCTCAGCCAGTACATGCCTCTCAGCAGACACATGCAATATAATGACCGGGTTAAACTGTCATGAGTTTTCCTTCCCATCTGAAGTCTTTTTTATCGGGAAACCAACGCTAAAAAGATTGCTAACCAAAGCTCAGAGAGACTCCGTTCACCCTCATCAAGGGCAGCTAGCCCGCGCCAGTTCTCAACCTGATACTTTATATATTATACAACCACTGCTTTATCACGTTGATTAATGTGTCATTTATCAGATAATAGTTCAATTAAAACGTGTATCATTAACCTACAAAAAACAACAACAAAAAAAACCCCCCCAAAAAAACAAAAAAAACTATGCAACCAAACACTAACAAATCCTTACCAATATCACAATAAAAACACAAAGCTATAGAAAGTGCCATCAATACTAGAAGCATTAAAGAAGGCATATTCAATAAACTGCTATCAAATTTAGAACAAAATGCTGAACATATTTCATAAATCAAGAAAGGATGCAAAGAAATGAGAGGAAATCACGAACTGTCACGTGAAGACGAGACGACGCGATGTTTGAAAATGATGAAAGCGACACAACTCAAAAGTCAAAAGTTGCTGATAATGTTTTATGAAAGACGAAATTACTTCGATTACTTGGCATTGGATAATTTATATTTAATTATGTACCGGAAAACGAAAGACGAAATATAGAATCTTTAAAACAAATTCATTCGCGCAGAACTTTTGTTTATATGTATCTATATTCAGATTTGTATAAATAAAAAATAAAAAAATTCTCCCCAAATACACCCATATATAGACACACACACATATATATGTACATATATTAATTGGTGCAAAAATATATATATATATATATATATATATATATATATATATATATATATATATATATATATAGAGAGAGAGAGACTTTCATCTGTTCATTCCTTAATAAAATTAGCCTGACCCCGGAAATGGTCAGGTGTTTGATCACTGGACCCTTAACAGCAAATTCTCTTTTATCGCTTTCTTTGCAATGACAATATTTCTTGAATAATATGACCCTTATATTGTGTGCAAGGCAAAGCATCTGACATCATCGAAATTAGTTCATCTGATAGAGTTAAAAAAAAAATTCTAACATCTCCGTAATCTCAAAGCACTTAGTTATCACATATTTTTACTCTGATTCTCGACAGTTCAATTTACGCCACTTCGCTTTTACAAAACACCGAAACTTCGAGGTCTTTCACCCGCTATACGTAACGTTAAAAAGAAGCGATTAAGATTTTTGAGTTTCTCAATCTGAAAACTTAACGTTTTTATGCATTTGACTGAACATTGACAATCCCTTTCTTCCTGATTTTCAGGGCTATTTTTTTATTATAGAATCATTAGCAATGCATTTCCCTTATACATCTAATAACCCTATTGTATCAGCAATGTGTGTATTAATTCCTGACCAATAATAATCAATTTCTATCTGATTTTTAATCCATTCCTACAGTAAATTTGGCACTAATCAAATAAACTGGTTCACTCATAAAAAATTGAGTAAAATTCTTTGCAAACCATTTTTGTTCATTAACCTTTATTGATGTTTCTCGAGCCACAGCATTTGTCAGAATCGAAAAATATTGATGTTTTTACATTATTTTAGACAGTGGGTCCTGTCATTATATATATATATATATATATATATATATATATATATATATATATATATATAGTTCCAGAGTCCTACGAGGCTGGCATCCCGCTCTCACCCCCTCACTGTCGAAACTCCTAAATGTAGCCGTCTCTTCTACTCTAATAGCTTCATGTCTCGCACCTCTCGCCTGTGGAACTCCCTTCCCTTCTCCTGTTTCCCTGTGAGCTACAATCTCCAGCTATTCAAGTGTAATGTCAATCGACATCTCCAGTTGCTTTGATCTATGCACTACCCTTCTCCTCATCCTTTCTTCTATCTCTCCTATCTGATCTTGCTATTTCCTGTAACCCCTTGCATCCTAGTGGCTTCCCGCCTTGCTTGGGGTGAAACGCTTAAAAAATATATATATATATATATATATATATATATATATATATAATAGATGCTAATTTATAGTCTGCCCACTGACACCTGAAAAAAAGATTTTTAACCGAAATGTCGAAAGTTTTAAAAAGATTAAAAAATATAATTTAATTATAAAAAAAAACAATAGGTATTTCCTCTCAATAGTAACATAAAGATTTTGATGATAAAACTTTGTTTTTATTAAGTTTAGGGCAATTTTTTCGTCATAGTATGCTCTGCTTTTAGCGAATTTGTGTAGGTACCTCGTATTATATAAAGACATTGCTATGATTTTGCGGCACAAGTTATTTTTAATTTTTTTAGAACCTTCGACATTTCGGTTAAAAAATCTTGATTTTCAGGCGTCAGTGGGCAGACTATAAATTAGCATCTATTATATATATATATATATATATATATATATATATATATATATTTTATATTCGACTATAAATTAGCGTAGAAAGTTTTAATTTTTTTGCGGTGAAAAACATTGATTTGAAAATTCTTGTAAAATCAAATAATTGTTGGATTTTATTGAAACTTTCAGGACGTATTGACACATGAATGTAATTATTTTAGAAATTTCTTTTTTTGGAAAATCTTGGTAAAAATATTTTTTTTACATCTGGTACCCCGCACCAACTCATTTAATTTTATAACATTACGAAAAATTAAATTTCTGCAAATCTTAATTTTTATCTTAGGTAAAAGCTGGACAGCTTGGGGAATTTAAAACTTCAAATTCTTTTTGTGAAACAGGAACCCCATTTACAGAAAATCTGCTCTGAATCATAATATAAAAATGCCATAAAACTAAGACATTATTTAAGTAGAAAAGCTTTCAATTGCTTTTATGAATTAGATATATTATCTTAATTTTCGAAGAATAATGAATTTTTGCAGGAATTGTTTTAAGTTTAAAAAAATTAATTAGAATAATTTAGAAAGTTTTAAATCTTTTAAAATTCTGCCTTAATGTGTAAGTTTTAAATCTTTTAAAATTCTGTCGTAATGTGATATTTTTATTAAGTAAAAACTATATTTACTAATTATAAATCGAAAGGTTTATTACAATTTACTGACCCCTAGTATTCAAACAAGTATTTTGAAGTTGTTTGTATTTGTATAAACGTGACGATCTTTGTAAATATGGAAGCTCATATCCAACATTATTACAAA